ATAAAATATTATTTTTTAATATAAATATAAATTTTAATAAATATATAAATATATAATTAAAAAATAATTTTTTATATATATCAAGTAGGGTAGGATCGAATTTGCCAAAAATATAACCTTGACCCGACCTGATCTTGATTTTTTTTAATATTATCCAACCTGACCCAATTCGATACTTGATTTAAAAAAAAAAAAAGACTTTAAGAGATCAGATCAAGTCGAAACCCGTCAGATTATTATAGCATGCCTTATCATCTCTAGTTTTTATTATGATTGTATAAGACACATGAATGCCATATTCATATTCCTCTGTAAGTTCAAGTGCAGGTTTAGAAATGAGATTGTTAGGATCCATTGTTGGTTCATTTCCTTGTGTCATTTTCCATCAACAATTAAATCACATAAAAGACTGGCACAACAACATGTTTTTCAATAAGAATGGCTTTGTGGAGTCTATAATCTAATATTCCCACTATTTAAGTCATCCTCTAGATAGATTGCATAGTTAGACTTGATAATACATTATCAAGTCTATGCAACTTAATACATTACATAACCTTTTAGAAAAATCAATGCATATCATAGATCAAGACCAAAAACATAAAAATAAAAATCATACTCAATAGAACAACACACTTAAAAACTTATCTCATGTTTCACTACATTAATACTTTTTTTTCATATCATACTTAAGTCAATCTCAAAAAATTCATGAAAACTAAGTTTGCATAATAAAGACTATAGCATGCCAATTCGATTTCCAACTTAAGTTGCATACGTTACATGATTGTAGTCTAATTGCTTGTAAATGGACTTAGAAAATTAAGAGGTCCTTCATTGGCCAACTAGAAAGGTTAAAAGCCAATCTTGTGACTCAAAGCTTTAAATGAAAGAAGGAATGAATTGTAAAGAGTCCTTTTATCTTCTTTCCACCATTAATTCATTTAGAATTTTTATGGCATTGGTGGGTCATTTGGCTTAGAGATACATCATATAGATGTTAAAATGTCTAAGTGAATTAACATAAATGTTTTGTGGTTTTTTGTTATTGAACATATGGTTTAATTAATTCTAGAAGTCCATTTGTGGACTTCAAAAGCATCCAATTGGTGAGACTTAAAGTTTGAAGAGATGCCACTTCAAGGAAAATATTGTTGAATAATGCATGTCTAAAGGTTAATGGGAAAAGCTACGTACTTCAGGTGCTCTAAATTGATGATATCATATTGACAGCCATAAATATCGATCTATTATTTAAGAAATGAACATGTTGTCATGTCACTTCGAATGAAAAAATCAAGGCTTTATTTTGATATAACGGTTAAGATTATTCATTACAAATATAAATGTAAATTTTACTATTCCTAGAAAACCTACATTTAGTATTTGTTAGTAGGTTTTGATATGCATTGTCATTTTCTATTTAGGTAGTTGTTGTAAAGAGTGATATGTTATTAAAATATCAATGTCTTCATGATGATAATGAAAGAGCTAATGTTGAATATTTAGTATGCCTCAAGTGTGGCTAGTCAAATATATGCTTAAGTCTATACATATTTTGTGTTTGTATGCTATAGGTGCACTTCATGTAGTCCATGACTTAACTTGAATTCTTGCTTCAAAAATCAGAGTTTAAAACCATGTAGAACACTTCATTAATGCCACCCATAAAGAATGAAATTTAAACGTTTCATGCCATCCTACTCTAAGTAAGAATAAGAATATAAAATCCTAATCCATATAGGTAATCCAAATCTAAGTAAGAAAAATAATTAGAATTGTCACCTTATCATGCCACGTCATCTTTATTAACCAATAAGGAAATCTACATAAGCTACCATAGACTTGCAATCACCTAAAATTATAATTCTGATTTTCATTATTGCCAAAATTCCCAACTTGAATCTTGCATAAATTTTCTCCATTTTTCTTCAAGATTGCATCATTTTTATTCTATTAAACTCCATTAAATCAATCTTGAACATCTTTCCCATTCTTTAACTTCAAGATTTCCAAGAAAATCAAGATTTATCAATAACATCACTAGATTTCTTCTTATGCATAAAAAATCATTAAGATTTGATAAAAAATTTACAAGATTTACTTTTTTTTCAAGAAAACTCACAAAATAGAAATTATGCCATTAGGAGTAAAAAGAACATTATGTTACTAAAAAACAAGAAAAAATCAACCAATTAAACACTAAAAACAAGCTTAAATAACTCTATTTTATAGAGTCATCACCCGTCATAAGAAAATAAAACCAATTTTAAAGAGATATTGACCCAATTGATAAAAATAAATAATGCAACCATCCAAAGCTTAGTTGTATCAATCAAAAATCTTAAAAACCAAATAGGTTAACTAGCTTAAACCATAACCAATTGACCTCTAGGAGCCTTGCCTAATAATACCAAGTCAAACCTTAAAAAGTAAGGTAAAAAAGCATGTAATGCCATATATTCCTATGGTGAGAATGATTCTTATTGTTTTAATGATTATATGATAGATGAGCCAATGGTGGTAAACTTGCCTAACTTTGTAAAGCAGCTTAAAGTGGATTTTATTGGAAAGGATAATGTGATGGAGCATGAAGAGTTATTGAGGTTTGGTAGGAAAGTTCTTGATAGTTTTAATCTTATGGCTTTAGAAGCTCCTGAAAAGATTGAGCCATATGAGGAGATAGGTGAAAACTTTGAAATTGAAAAGGATCTTGAGGAACACATCAAGAAGAAGACCCTAAAGAGTGCGTTGAAAATTCACCTGAAGAAGGTGAAATGTTAATGCAAGTTAGGAGATCACTTTTTAAAAGCATATAACCTAAAGTGGAGAAGAAAAGGGAAAAAAAAGAAATTTAAGAAGTGAAAAGGATGAGAATGACTCCAAAGATGTCTACCCAAAGATAGATCTTTGAAATAGCACCATCAACTCCGAGGCCTATTCCAAGACAACTACTCAAGACGTTAAAAGGCGTAACTTTTTTCTATGACTGTAGTCCTGTACTTGGACATCTTTTTTCAAAAAAGCAAAAAGATCTAACAAGTTTTACTATTTCTTATAAAATTGGTCATTTAAAATTTGATGAAGCTTTTTATGATCTTGGATTCAGTATTAATCTTATACCTATAAATAGTTTTATATAGCTAGGATGTGGCATACTAAAACTTTCAACATTCACCATTAAATTTGGTAATAGATATACTAAAAAGGGTATGAGAAATGTTAGAGAATGTTCTGGTAAAAGTTAATAAGTATGCTTTTTCTGTAAAATTTGTTGTCTTATATATAGAGGATGATGAAGCCCTTTTGTTTTAGGTAGATCTTTCCTATTAACATCGAAAGCCTTAATTAATGTGTTTAACTTCAATCTTACTCTAAGATATAAGGATAAAGAATACAATTGATAACTAAAGGATTCGATGTCCTTAGAAATGATAAGGATGTTCAATTAGTAACTAAAGATAAAGAAAAGGAAAAACCTAATGTTAAAGAATCAAGCTTGACCTTTCAATCTCATCCAACCAGCCTACAATACACCCATCCTTACAAGCCCAAAACAGAAACCACCAATCTTAAGTCAAATATTCCTACCATTAATCTAAGTCCAGCATAAGTTATACTTGCAAGAAAAGTTAATACTCCTAGATCTAGTTCAGTTTATGTAATACCTCAAATAAGAATGTAGTAAGGTAAACTCCCACGTAAAGGGATGAGGTAATTTTTAGATTTTAAATATGGTTTAGCTTGACCAAAACTAGCATTGCTTGGAAGGTAACCCAAGTTTTACATTAATGGTTTATGCATTTGATTTTTTTGTTTTTACTTTATTTTTAGGACAAGTATGTTTTGATTCTTTTTATGTTTTTAGGTTTCTTAGGGATAGAAGTGATGTAAGGAGATGCCTCATGAAGAATTCAAGATTTGGCCTTAAAGCAAAGTTTAGGGAGTGTTTTTTTTTTTTAGTTCTTAAATATTTTATTTTGAAGTATTGCTTTAGGTATGTGTGGGGGAAAAAGAATGCATTTGAACTAACTTGTTTTTTAAATCTTTACTCTAATTGCTTTGTTTTCAAATCACATTGGCATGCTATAGTTTTTATTATGCAAACTTAGTTAATTTTCATGAAATTTTTAAGATTGACGTAAATATGATACAAAGAGAAATATTAATGTAGTGAAGCATGAGATAAGTTTTTAAGTATGTTGTTCTATTGAGTATGATTTTTATTTTTTATGTTTTTGGTTTTGATCTATGATATGCATTGATTTTTCCAAAAGGTTATGTAATGTATTAAGTTGCATAAAAATTTAAAGTAAGAGTATAACTTTAAAATTTACCTACTTAACCTTTGAAACTCTTAGAAAAAAGGTTGTTAAAAAAAAAAGAGCAATTTAGATTCGGATATCGTTATTCTGATATATAAAAAGAGTAGGCTCTGGGACGAAAGGATTCGAACCTTCGAATAGCGGGACCAAAACCCGTTGCCTTACCACTCGGCCACGCCCCATTTAGATTTCTATTTGAAACTACTAAACACTAATATGGGTATTCCCTGTTCGTCAATTCCAGTTCCAAATAACTATGGAATAGATTAGATTCTTGCTAGGATTTTGGCACGTATGGATAGAGAATTAAACCGAATTTATTGATCATTACATATAATTCAATTAAGATATTGTATGAAAGTATGATTTCTTCTAATTCTATTGTAAGAATTGAAGGCTTTTTGATTGGGTGAGTTCAAAGAAGCATTGTTTAGTTTACCTATTTCCCTTTCTTTGTTTTTTTCCTTATATTAAAAAATATATTAATAACTCAATCAAAATTCTCTTCACCTTTGACATCTCTTCATCTAAAAAGAATTCTCAATGTGAAAACATAGAGACAAAGGGCTGATCTTTGAATAGGAAAAAGAGTGGATTTGAAAAGTCCCAAATGAATTGGCTTATTCAAAAGAACCTTTGTTCTTTGAAAAATCTATCTTATGCTTGGTATTGCATATAAAATCCTAATACCATTTATAAAAATGAAGCAAGGAACTCTCCCTTTTTTATTCTTCCCGTCCAGGATTACCAGGATTACGTCCGGATCATTAGATAGGAGTCCGAAGATGAAAGAGAAACAAAGAATATCGTTGCGGTGTAAACAACGAATTTAAGATTATGCATTGTACAGCCTCCCATAAATTTTTTTTTTTATAAAAAGAAAATAGATTCTTCGTACTCAAAAAATGATCTAGGTATTCTTTGGACAATTTGAACCTTTTTCAAGTCTACCTTTTATGAAGCATCCTTAGTACCCTTATTTTGAGCCTTTACATTTACCTTTTCTTTGTTTATTTTATTCACAATAGTAAGCCAAAGCCTTTTTCCTTGACATTATCCTTTTTTATTGTTTTACCTAACCTAATGTTGATTATACATATTTTTGAACAAGTTTTTATATTTGGAAGGAAGTGAGGCTGATAATTTCATTTTTTTAATAGAATTATCATGTGCTTAATTAATTAATTGTATGTCTTACTTTATTAATATTTACTTAATTACTCACCTAATTTTTCAAATTTTAGCATGTGTAGGTGAATTGGAAATTTGCTTACACCTAGCACCCCTATGCTAGCCATGGCTGAACATATTGGAGGAAATGTTGCCAAGGCATTGCAAAGGATTTTTTAGAGCCAAAATGAGCTAAATCAAATGTGGAGAAGCTTTCAAGACTTGGCCAAGAAAAGCCTAAGCCGTTAGCAAGCTAGTGTGCATGTGTGAGCTTGTTTTCATTCCATTGCATAGGTATTACTATGTGGGCTGTTGAGTGGCTGACTTTTACAAGCTTTTGGGAATGTTAAATGAATTAAAATAGAATTGAATTCCATGCCCTAATCGAGCCATGAAGAGGTTGATGAGCTATTAAGAAGCAAATGCCAAGACATGTCACAAAGTGTCATAGCTAAGAGGTGCATGTGTGCATGAGGGAAAGCTGACTTTGAGGAGCTATTGTACAAGCTGATTTGGAGGAGCTTCAAGCTAAGTTTAGAGCTGATATGAGGACAAAAAGCAAGCGAAGAAAATTTGAGCAAGGAGAATCGGCAAAGAAGGAGTAAGAATGTTGGGGACCAATTTCATAACAAGATAAAATTGGGACCACAATGAAAAGGACAAGCTATTATCGTTCTTTTTGCTTTTGGTTTGGACAGTTTGGAGGGGTCACTTGGCTAGAAAAATGTAGAGAATATCTCAAGATAAGGTAGCTTTTTTATGGAAATTGATTGGAGAAACACATGGGCTGATCCAAGGTGGCATAGGTGCATAGAAGCCCAGTAAGCACCAAACTGCTAGGTTAGCACCCGAATCTATTTTTGCTTCATCCCAGCCTACAAATGGCTCATTGTGAGTAGAGGAAATGAGGCATACGTGTGTCCTAAGTGAAGGCTTAAAGGACTTCCATTGGACCAGCCCAAAGAAGCAACAAATGGGGGAGAAATTGACCTTGTAAGTCACGATTTTGGAGTTGTCTACCAACAGTAATTTTTCTTCAATCCCAGCTGACTTTTTCAAGGGTCAAGATGGCTTAAGAAGGACCATTGATCGGCTGAGAAAATGATCTAAAATAAAGCTTAAATAGGACAATTTTATGGGGAGAAAAGGAGGAGCCAAACCAGTCATGTATTTTTTTTTTTAATTTCAAGTTTTTTTCTTTTTTTTTCTTATGCCACAAGTAAGGCAGCATCCTTGCTGACCTTACTTTGGCTTTTAGGCTCCCTTTTAGATGTTTTCTTCTTCATTTTATTGTTTTTAAATTCTAGTTTTATGTAACTTTTCCAGTCCTTGCACTTTGTTCTTCGATTAAACCTTATTATCTACATTTTAATAAATGCAATTTTCTACTTTGGTAACTTTTGGTTCTGTTCATTTTTTTTCCAGCTTATTTCTACTTTGCTTTGAAGTTGATCTTTTATTGAGAAGGATGGATTTTGATAGCTGGATGGACTCTTGTTCATCATTGGCCATCAAAAGGCTTGACTCTGTGTGTTTAATTTTTCTTTCCCCATATACTTTCATGTTTCATTTTCTGCCTAGAATTTTTTTGGGTACTGCAAGTTTTTGTTTCGTTATTTACTCGGCCTTCTTACATGTATTTAAAGCTCTTTGAATCTTAGGAGAGATAGCTTTGGATGCTATTTTGATAGGAAGATCATATGGCTCCAAAAGCTTTTAGAAACTAGATATTGAATGAAGGAATATTTGTATTGAAAATAAATTTAGAAAACAATATAGTTGTGGCTAATCTGTCACCTTAATCAAACTATTTTTAGGTTACGTTTTTTAAATTTTTAAGCTTGAGTCAAGGTAGGTAAAAGAAAATTTTTAGGCTTAGTCTTTAGCTTACTTCTTTGAAATTCTCTTGGAGTCATGATTTTGAAAATTTGAGAACTTTTAAAACCTTTTCAAGACTTTGAGGCATCACTTTATTTTTATTTTTTTTTCACTAAGCCATTTTTGGCTTTATTAAGGCTTTGCCTTGCTTTTCTTTTATCATTTTTTTTTCATTCCTTACACCTCATTTCCTTCCAAAATGAATGATAATATCCAAAAATATGTTAACACAGTGGGTTAGATAAAAAAAAAGGGGATAATATTTAAAAGAAAAGGCTTGTGCTTTTTATTGTGGCTAAAATAAACAAGGAAAAGGAAAATTTTATAAGACTCAAAATTAAGGTACTATAGATGCATCATTAAAAGTTGACTTGAAAAATGCTCAAACGGTCCAAGAAAAGGTATAAATCATCTCTTAAATCAAATACAATTTAGAATTTTACCTTAGAGAGTTGAATAGGTGAATTCTAAAGTAATATTCTTATTTTCAAATTTCTATGCAACTTAACATCACAAAACTCTTTACAAGAATTATTGCATTTCATAGAAAAAGAATAAAGAGATATTCATAAAAACCATATCCAAAGAAAAACTTACTTAAGAATTCATTCCATTGCTTCACCATACTCATAATTGTCCTCATATCATACTCAATTCAAATTTTAAAAGTTCATGCAAAATTAACTAAGCTTGCATAATAGTGAAATCTAGCATGCTAATTTGGTTTGAAAAGTTTTTGAGAAAAATAGTTAAGTTTAAAAAACAAATTTAAAAAGCATTTTTCCCATCCCTACATTTACTTTAAACAATAAATCATAACAATCAATTAAGCATCCAGGAAAAATAAATAATTCACTAAAATTTTACTTTAAAGCCGAATCATCTTTTTGTATAAGGCATATCTTTTCACACTTTTCATCCCTACGAAACTCAAAAACAAAAAAAAATCAAAGCATAATAGTCCTAATAAAGATAACAAAAACAATTAAAGTAAAACTTGGGTTATCTCCCAAGTAGTGATAATTTTAGTCAAGTTTGATCATACCTAAAATCTAAAGGGTTACGTAATTACTCCATTCTTGACACCAGCTTCTACCCACTTAATGGTCTTTCTACCTACCCCATCTTTAATAATAAACCTTAAGGGGTAATGTTGAGTGATTATGGTAAAAATGGATATGTGTCCTACCCCAAGCAATGTCTTCGCCATAGCAATAACTATACTAAGGTAGGTAGGCACTGGTTTCAGTACAAGTGAAAGAGGTACAACTATAGAAACTATAAGGTTGGTCTCTAAATCTAAAGGTTCTTCTATGGTCAGTTTAAGTTGGATAAATGAGGTGTCCTCATTCTTTTCCTTAAGTTTAATGAAGGATGTTTCTAAATGTTCAAGCAATTTTTTAACTGAACAACCATCATCAATATGTTTCTCTTTCATAGTCATCTTTAAATCATCTTGTATTTGATCTTCATAGGGCTAAAAAAATGACATGAATGGACTAAAAGGTTCAAACTTAGCTTCAGTAAGAATAATGTTATGCCCATCTTGAGGTTCAGATCCTAAAATTGATTCCTTGTCCTTAAAATCTACCACCTTAACAAATGTTGGCATATTAATCACAATAGGCTCTTCATTATCTTGACCTTTTTTAGGATCTTCATTAATTTCATACTCTTCTTTTAGTTTCTCATCAACAGGTTATATACTTTCAAGTAATGTTCTTCTTACTTGCATCAACATTTTTTTATCTTTAATCGAATCCTTAATGTACTCTTGGGGATCCTTTTCTTAAACATATTTCTCATTTTCTCACACAGTGTTAGATTCAAAATTACTAGGTAAGATCTTCTGAAAGTGTGTGCCAAGGGTAATTGCTAACTATTAACATTTCTCTTCAAGGTTCTTAAGAAAGGCTTGGCTTTAAAGCATGATGACAATCTAATCTTAGAGCATTTAGTTTAACACTTTCTCTAAAGAAGGTTTTTTCTTAGGGTGGGAAAGCATATTGTATACAGAAATGGGATTGTAGTGGTGGAAAGTCAAGGATGTTAAGCTAAAGGGGTTGCTTTTGACTATTTTCCCCTAAGTAATTAGGGTGACTCTCCCAACCTTGAGTGTAAGTGTTTGAGTAAAAGTTGAATTGGTTATCTTAATACCTATAACTATTGTATTTCCCTTATAACCATAACAATTATAAAATGTGCTTTGAACTAACTAAATATGTCTAAGATTATACTCTCTTTCAAGAGTATCTACCTTTTTAGCTAAAGAGACTAAGTGTGAGGTTATGGTAATAAGAGGGGTTTTTATTATACCTCTCAATAGTGCACCACGATCTAGGGTTTTAAAATGGTGGTTGGATGTGAGAAATAATCAAATCATGGCTCATTATGATCCCCAAAGGTTTTTGACCTTAGTACAATAAAGATCTGACAAAACAAAAAAGAAAAAGAGAACGTATTTGAACAAGTAAAAGTAAAAAGTATTTAGATTACAAAAGCGTAGAAAATCTTTATTGATATTGGATCGAATACCGCTATAATACCAGGCAACGACACCAAAACTTTTATTACCTATTTTCACAATGTCTAAAAGCGCACAAATTAAATCAAGTAATAAAGTGATAAGTATCAGAACATCATCCTACAAGGATTATAGAATTGATTGCTATGTGGATTCAAGTACCAAAGTTGATAGACTACTATTTTATATATAAACTGATAAAAAAATTAACAGTCTTTAAACCAAAATCCATAATTGATTAAACAATGGGTGCTTTTTACAAATTGAATTAGGTAATTGAAGGCTATTTTAGTGTTTACTATATGACAATTGTCCTGGACTTGTAACAAACTTTCGCCATTCTTTTTGACTAAAAAAACATTGAACATAATCAACCACATTTATTTCGTTCATTGATTAATAAAATTACCTAAAACATAATGGAAATTTGAAGTCAAGCAATTTCACTAAGTCATGAAACACAAAATTCAATATTTTAGAAACCATATGTCTTATAAAAACTCTACTTGATAGCTTTATGCCTCTAATTTACCTCTCAGCCATTAGCCTCCATCAATTCATAAATTTTTTTTCAAGAGTCAGTTTTATTTACACCATTCGTTCTTGATTCATCCCAGTATATATCATAAATTTTAGCCTTCTGTTCTCCAACAATCAACCATCTGTTTTACAAGGCCTCTGTATTTATTTAGTTTTGATAGTTTGATAATCAAGATAAATCACCTTTGATCTTTATTTTTTAACATTTTCTATAGTTTGTATTTTGTCTACCCATGTAATTTATTCTCTTCTCTATGTGCAAATCAAATTTCAAAGCTTTATGGATCACAACCACAAATCATGATTACAAAAAAGTCATCATCGATGATAAAATTTAATAGAGTTTTAAAACATAGATATTTAATTTTACTCTGGTTGTGATTTTTTTTTCAATTAGATTATTTTATGAATTAAGTTTAAGTCATAAACACTCGTTTTTCATTGAGATTGAATTGTATAGAATTGAGTTTAATTTTCTTTAGTTTTATTATTTTTTGAAAAGTCATTTGAAAAAGCTATTGTTGAACTTGACAAACTAAGAAAAGAGTCATACAAAGACAACATTCTCATTATGCAACTCCTAAGGGATGACCTTACTCTTTGGACTTCAAACATACAGGTCAGTGCCAGCCCTCTTTTTCTCTCTCTCTCTCTCTTTCTTTGACATGTACAAATACATATGTAAACCCATGTTAACGGGGATTTTGACACATCCAAATGACCAATGCCTAACTTTATGTGATATTGGTTGTCATACAGGACCAATTAAATAAGTCATAGAAGCTGTTGTAAACTGTGTTAATCCTATTCTTGTTCTGGATTAAGGTTACGCAAGAATAAATCATGCTTGGTAAAATTTTTCATTTTAATAAGTCCATTCTTTCTAACCATTTGTGTTAAGCATATTTAATTATTGATATTATGATTTGTGGATAATTGTGTCCTTGCCATTATACCCACTTATTTATCTACTATTTAGCTAAGGGTTCAACAGGTGTAAGAAAAGAAGATCAAGAAAATTTTTAACATAAATTTGGGCCCATCAAAAGCTATAAGAAATGGTTGCACTATTAGTTTAAGTAATTTAAGGAAGGCTCTCGTAATAGATCATACAAATATTTAGGCAATGACTTTTATTTCCCACTAATAGGCCTTCCATCATTGCACTTACCTATGGTAATTGTACTATACATTATCTCTAGGTTAGTGAAAATGGCTTCATCTCACTTTAAAGACAGATGGATGTATCAAGGATCATGTCATCACCAAATCTACTTGCAGGCCATAGCAAAGTATGTTTTTCAAACCAAGAAATATTAGGGTATGATTGATGTGAAGGTGGATAAATATTTGATAGTATGTTGGTGGGCAAATGATTCAGTGTATATGATTGAAAAAATAAAAATTGTAGCATAAAATAATATTATTTTATCAATTTTTGAATGACATGACTTATTGTATATGTTAGATGATGCAATTGTAAATTTATTTTTTATTATATTTGTAAATAAAATAATAAATTTTATTATTTACAATTGACAACAATAAATTTATTTTAAAAATTTTTATGAAAAAAAAAGTCATTGTTACAATTATTTGAATTGGATGTGTCAAAACAATTACAACGATAAAATTATAAATTGTTATGGAAAATATTTTACCTATGATAATTTCTAGTTACGTAAAAAATATTAAAACGATTATAGTCGTTATTAAAATTATTGTTTGTAACGACAAAGAATCATGATGCTCAACATAATTAGCAGGTATATATGAAAATATTGCAAAATATTATAAGGCAACGAAAATATTATTGTCGCAAAAAATTTTATAAAAACGATATTTAATCATTACCAAATATGTTACATAATGAAAATAATATTGTTATTTAAAAGTTTTTGTAACCAACTTATATGATTACTGAAAATAGCTTAACAAATAACATTTAATCATAACAAAATATATTATGTAACCACATTAATATGGTTACTTAAGAGTTTTTATGACCAATATTTAATGGTTGTTGAAAATAGTTTAATAAACAACATTTAATCGTAATGAAATATGTTATATAACCATAATAATATGGTTACTTAGGAGTTTTTACAACTAATATTTAATGGTTACTGAAAATAGTTTAACAAACGATATTTAATTATAATGAAACATGTTATGTAACTATAAGAATATGGTTACTTAAGAGTTTTTATGACCAATATTTTATGATTATTGAAAAAGTTTAAATAACAATAAGCAATCGTTATGAAATCTTTTATGTAACCAAAATTATATTGTTCCATAACAGTTATTGCAACCAACTTATATGGTTGCTAAAATGAATATTATACAACGTTATTTGTCATTATAAAAACAATTTTTAGTAACTTTTTTTTTGTTACGTAAAATATTTGACAACCAAAAAATATCATTACAATAAATTTTTGCAACCAAAACAAATAATTATTGTGTTAACTTTTTGTAATAAAAAATCATTGTTACTAATAAAATATTTTACACAACGACTTTTATTATTGCGAATAAATGATTTATATGGAAACAATTAAAAGTTGTTGCAATATACGCATTTTTATCAACGACGCTATTTGTTGTTGTGATGATTCTAAGACAATGGTGTTAATAGCAACAACCCTACAATAACAAAAAAAAACATTTCAAAACACTGTTAACAATGATAAATTGATCTATATCAACAATTTCGATCATTGCTAAATATCAATTTTCTTGTAGTGTTCCCACCACTTCTACACTAAATATCCTTTGCATTATGTATTGTCTTCTAACTATATCTTTTTTAACGTTATAAGAGATGGTCTCCATTAAGAACATTATCTTAGGATCTTTTCTTTTCAAGACCTTTTGAAGAGCTCGAACTACTTATGAGTTCCCAAGCCCATGACAATTCTAGGTTAAGCATTTCATTTATTTCGATGGTACTAGTAACCAATCACCACTATTTCACTTTTGTTGACCTCCTTAGTTGCCTTCTCATCCCCATTTTCTTTTTTACCAGTAAAATCGACCTCCATGTCATCATTTTTTCTTTGTTATTTAAGTTTTGAAATTTTGTGTTGCAATTTAAGGCTCCATTTGGTTTCAACTACACCTCCAATGAGATGCAATTGCCAAAAAAGTTTGTGCCCACCAATGGTAAAAATGCATTCGGATGTCAAAGCAGTATCACGTTTGGCTCTTTTTTCTCATTGATGATTTTAATTCCATTGAACAAACACAGGTTTTCAACTTTTTTGTTTCCTTTTTTGTCGTTTATTATATTGCAAAGACAAAAAATTCCTCATAATTTAACTTTTTTATTTTTATTTAAAAATTATAAAATAATTTTATTAATTTATTATAATAAATAATTTTGTTTATTATATAATAAATTAATAAATAAATAAAATTCTAATTAATTTTATAAATGTTAAATAATTTAAATTTTTTATTAATATAATTTTTACTCCAATATCTTTAATGATCATTTTCTCTTTTCATTACAATTCACATAACCTTCACTGTTGCTTTTGCATTCAAATACATATTTCACTATTGATTTTAATCTTACCACTATAGTATTCAATCTTACCGCTACAATAACTAATCTCACTTCCACCACTATTTTTAATCTTACCAGAACCAATATTACTTCTCATCTAAATGGACTTTAAATCTTATAAGAGGGTTTGCAACATTCTTTATGATTATATTTATCAACTAATATATTCCACATTGAAATTATTTATTAAGACCAAATCTAGAAAAATAGGACGTTGTTAAAACCTCATTGAAACATTTTGAACATTTGAAAAAAAAATACAAAGTTAAATCTTCTTACTTGAACCAAGCAATCTCTCTTGTTTTGAATCAAAATTCTTACGATGAAATCATAATTAAATATTGTATATGATTTTCATATGCATTAAATCGTTTACCTAATTATTAAAATTTTATTTTAGCCTAAACATATATATGTAAGTGCGCATATTTTATAAATATAATCAAAATTTCTAAGGATTAAGCTATGGCTTAATCTTGAATTTTGCATATGTACTTCAATTTTATTAAAATTTGATACTATATTTTTAAGTTTTTTTTTTATTTTTAGATAAAAATAAAATATTTTTATGAAATGTTTTGATAATGCAATTGTATTTTCATTTTCATTGATTTTTAAATAAAAAAATAATATAATTGAAATATTTTACTAAATATTTTGTTAATGTAAAAATTTTAATTTTATAAATTTTGTTATTTTATTTTTTTAAAAAAAATCTATAAATTATAACCACAAGAACAAAATTGATGTATAATAAAAAATTCAGTATTGATACCTAATTCAGTTTGGAAAAAAAAATACATAAGACATTGAAAATTTTAATTTTAATTTCAATTATTTTAATTTTCATACAAATATATTTTAGAAAATGTTAAAGAAATTTAATTTTATGTATAATTTTTTAAATAAATTTACAATCATAATCACTAAATAATTAATTAATAAATTAGAATATAATTAAATAAATTTAAAACTAAATTAAATCAAATTCTCATAATAAAATTTAAGATTAAATTTAAAACTTTAAAACCTTTTTTTGACACGAAGCCATTATCTATTCAAAATAATTTTATGAATATAATTAAATAAATCAGATTAGATATATTATTATTTAATTTTAGGAGTAAAAGGATTAAGCAAAGGGAGGGGCAGCGCAGCAATCAAATCGAACATTGCATTTGCAGGAAAGGGAGGAAATGGCTTCAAATGGAAACGTTTGTAGTTGGATTCAAGAGCGTCTCTTAAGTGGAAAAGGAAGTGGTGTGTTCCTCAATCCCATCCATTCTGCTACTATTTTGCCCCGCAAGCCAACCGCCCTCTCCTTTTCCTCCTCCCTCCAACTGCAAGGTATCTTCTTCTTTTTTTTTTTTTCTTCTTTCATATCATCCTTTGCATATTAAATAAAATACTAATATATATTGATAAAATCAGGATTTGCGGCGGATAGGAAGCAGCGCTCCTCCTTTGTCCAAGCGCCGGCCGTCCGCCGTGTGGTGGGATCCCTTACCAAAACTCAAGGCCTTCGCTTTGCCGTGGTCTGTTTTCCTTTAATTGCCATTTGCAATTACTAAGTCGAAGATTGATTCCACAGCCTATTGCTTTTTATGTGTTGATTGATTGATTGTTCTTATGGTAATTGGTTTATTTTTATTACATTGTCAAAGGTTGTCGCCCGTTTCAATGAGATTGTGACAAAGCAGCTCTTGGAGGGAGCTCTGGACACTTTCAGCAAGTATTCAGTTAATGAAGAAGACATTGATGTGTGTAGCAACCACTAACCATCCACCTATTCCTATATTATATACTAAAGTAAAAGCCTCCTTTGATCTCCTATCTCTATCTCTAGTTACATGTCTGCTTTGTCCATCTATGTATCTACACGCCTGCGCTTTCTTTGCTACTGCTGCTGCAAATGTTAACAATTATTTGACAAATGCAGCTCAAAACACTAGGATATAAGAGTAGGATATCACTGCCTCCCTCTTTTGATAGAAATGCTATCGAAGTCTTTTTCTTCTATGATTCATGTTTTTCTCTGGATATCATCTTATTTACATCAAGCCCTTTTTAGCATGTGAATCTTTTGACCAAACTCTTTCATTATTATCTAGATAATATTTAGCCAACTCATAGCATGGCTTGATCGTGTCTTCACTTTCTTATCAGGTTGTTTGGGTCCCGGGTTCTTTTGAAATTGGTATTGTTGCGGAAAGGCTGGGGAAGTCTCAAAAGTATCATGCAATTTTATGCATTGGGGCCGTGGTATGATTTCTTTCGTATTCCTTAGAA